GATGAACATTCAAAGGAGAACGTTGCACCTATAATCGATGTAGGAATCGGGTGCAAGATAAGAAAAACACGCACGCACGAGTTTTCAAGAAATGCAAGAGTCGATGTATTTTCAATTATAATCGCCACTGATCGCTATATCGGTCGTTTCGCTTTAACCTTTCGGAAATAATAATCTGGCGCTGCCTTGACATTCGTTTATATCCACACGATCCACATTCGCTCTTTCTTTCTCTCTCGCACTTACACTTGTCTAAAAGGCAGTCGCTCGCACGGCCGCGGCACGGTGTTTTTTTCGGACATACGTACGAAACAATAGGTTGGCGCACTCCGGTCATTACCCTCTCATTACACTCTCACATTCGCACCTGAAATGACAACATCGCACGGTGTTTTTAGGCGGCACGCTCGATCATATGATCCGCCTTGGTCATTGCCCTCCTACATCGATATTTATGAAACGCAACCAGAATCCTCTTCTGGACCGTCTATAATCCTGAATATAAATTTACGGGGAAGTTGCGCGGTCCAATCGACGCGAATTCGCGTCGAACTAGCGGTCCAAAGTAACGTTGGCTTAACGGATCCAAGGATGCGAAACGGTACGCTGACTATGCGAACAAGAAATCCGATAGATCAATGCGTCCGGAGCACGCGATGCGGAAAATAGTGGCAAAAAATGTTCTCCGATGTTCCCTTCGATTCCTCTCGCGGAAACACCAAGTCCCTCTAACGAAGATCAATGCTTTCGACGCGAGAATGGGAAACAAAATGTTTTTCTAATGGTAACAAATCGGTTTTACGCGGCTCCGGTTATTAACCGACGTATCGCGAGAAACTAAATGAAAGTTATGGGATAATCTAATTACTGTAATACGATCCCTGGGACCATTTCTACTTCCACCCAAGAACTTTAATCCGAACCGCGAAAATCGACCACCAGCTTCACGAAACTTCGTGATTGTGATTCACGCTTTCTTGTTTGCAAATCGTGTCTCGTTTCGTAATTGCGTTCAACGTTTTACAATGTTTGACCTACGGTTTATCGGGTGCGCGTCACCTAGTAACGCGCGCCGACCGATATTTACCTAAAATAATTTAATCCTCGTTGGAAAATCAAATACGGTTTAACCGAGTTTTGCGTGCAATTATATCATTAATGACTCGGCCGGACGAATCATTTATCGATCTCGACGAGTCAACTGCTGCGTGCGTAATCGTTTCTCGCGGGAAAATTAACGTTGTGTCGGTTCGCAGCTGCGAGCTCGGATTCGCGTCTCTACAATTCTGCGTCGGACACAGTCAAGACGTTATTGTAATTGTTGATTAATTAATCAAGCGATCGATCGCGCGAGCTTACGTCGCAAAGCAATTTACGTTTTGAACCGATGTCGCAAATGCGCGCTCCTAATGCATTTAGTATAGCAACGGCGCAACAATGCGTTACCTTAATCCTATCGTGCTTACTCCTAGATATACCGGCTTAATAACCTTACCTTTGTTACTAGGTTTATTATTCGTTCTACGTTTCGAACTTACTCCAGAATTTCTACAGAAATAAATTAAATGCATAATTCATACTTCATTTATAATAAGGAAAGACGAAGCAAGGTATGAATTATGTATTTGTCGAATTCAAAGAGTCAAATTGACCGTCTTTATATTCGCTCGTCGTTTCTCTTACAAACCGTAAATCATAAACTTTATTTATTGTTTGCTTGTTGTAAATTTTTGTTTGTCTTGACATCTGTCAACCGCGATGTTTATAATTGCTAAACTGTATTAATTTCATAAAGGGCTATGCCCGAATAAATTGAAATAAATAAATAAATAAATGAATTTATTAAATTTACGAAGCAATGATTCGTCAGAGACTATCTGTCCTTTCGACCAGCATCCCCGAAACAAAAGTGCCGGTCCGCTCGAGTGTCTTCTCGCTCCGAGGTTTCATTAACGCGAATAGCACCGATTCGCGTTCTTTTCAATGCCTACCGCACTTGGCTCCGAAATTAATCCATTTTCGGCGTGGTTCATAAATAATTTGCCTAACGCCGACGTATTCATTTGATTTCCAAGAATTCGAAGAAAGGTGAGATTGAAGTTACACGTGACGTACGAAGTCAAACGCGTGATCCTAAAGTAGAAGGCACCTGATCGATACGAACGATACGAGTTGTACGGTACTGACGTTTGCCGTGAACACAAAGGCGCATTAATTGCGTGAGACTCCATCAATTGAATCGAAGCGGATTTATTTTATTTTTCGCTACTTTGAATTCGGTCGCCCCGGGCAACCCTTTGTAACAATAGACATTTAATTAACCACCTCCAAGCAAATAGAATTCACCGTTAATTAGTTAATAATCCCCTGATCGGATTACTTCGTTAACAATTAATCGAGCCGCTGCATATTCATGAACTTTGCTCGATTCGCGCGCTATTGATATTGGACAGCTACCGAAGTCCCAGCTGTTTGTCATCGGTGATAGTCAAAATACTCGATTATTACTTTGTTCTACGAATTCAATTAATATCCACGCGAATACGGTAGAGTAAACGTTGCGAAGAAATCTTTCTGCGAACGTTGCGTACCATTCAAAATTTTATCCGATGGAATTGCGATAGAATTCTCTGTTTGTCGAAGGATATCGGTGACGGTTCGAAATGTCCGTCGGACCGTTCGATTACGAGGGTACTCGTGGCCTTTTCCGTGGCGAACGACGCGCATGGAAAGTGTCAGCTGTCTGTGAAAAGATGGTGGGGTTCAGTGCTAGCAGTCCGACGAGAGCTGTCTTCGCGGAAGACGGGGTTAGAGAAGTCGGAATCTAGGAGGAAGCAAGCACTCGAAGGCGTGAGTAGTTTGCATGCTACGAGAGAGGAAGTTTCTGGGATTCGACCACGTGTATCTCCCGATTCCCGTGGCAGGTAGTCCCGCGCGGTATGCAGGACAGTAGGTCGACATCTTCGTCTCCGGTTCTTCCTCTTGTTCATTTTTTTCCCCCTTTTATCCTCTTACCGCGAGCCTCGTTCGTGCGTCTTCTTTTTATTTTCCTGCTCGACGCATGTGATATTTAAACGATGCACCGACTGTGACTGGAATGCCTCTTAAACGACGACGGGAAGCGTACTCGTTCGAAAAGTCTGCGATGCACGCTCGGCGTGAATGCTTCTAAATTTTTTTACGAGTAGACAACGCCTGGTCCCCGATTCGTAACTTCGCGTTACAAATCCACAGTGAGCCACAATGCGATATTGGCGCGAATATTTGTTTTTTGTAGTGGTTTAAGTCGCGTATTATAGCGCCTGATTTCTTTTGGAGGATCTAAAAAACAGTATTTAAAGTATATCTACATAGATCCGATAGAATGCGAATTCATGCATATCGTTTTATGACGGCTAACGGACTAACGTGCATAAATATTTCTAACATCTAAAAAAAGTATTTCTGAAGACTATTTACCGTCGATAGAGTCTTCCATGGCTATACAATAATAAATAAAAACATCGATGTCACTCCGTAAACTAATATCTGCTAACTGAGAAGAATGCTGCATATAATACGGCTGCGATTGTTTATGTCCCGTTTATCCAGTCTAGTGTAAGCATTGGACATTCTTAATCCAAACCGTTATATTATGACGTCTCTAAATTATTACATCAGTCTGCAAAAAATGTTCTTTTCGTGCTAATACTGCTATTTGGTCCACAGTGAAATGGAGAGACTGACCATCAATTTTTCATTTGTTCGCTGTGAATCCAAAATACGCTCCGCGTTATCTTTCGACCGACGTCGAGGCTACAGAATGTGTCCAGCGATCAATTATTCCCTTCTCATCGTTTATTTTCCGTGTCTTTTGTACGAGATTCCCCTCCTTTTGGCTGACACTCCATTTCTGATTGGGTTAGCCTCATTTTGCTAAGTGTTCATTATTTTCATTTCCCGAGACATTTCTTTCGCTGTTGCTCGCAGCTTTGTCTTTCATCCGGGATCCCCCTCCTCCGCTTTTCACGCGTTATTTCTTTTCCTGCCTCCGCGCGTTTTCCTTTCGCACCCGACTCGGTCTCTCTTTCCTTTGATATAGCGATGGCCACGAAACGCCTCGTTCCGATGCTTCACGACGCTACAACATTTTTCAGGCTTTCTCGGTTTTGTTCTCGATTGCATATACGGTAGTTTCATTACATGTAACACGTCGCTTGCCGTTTAAACATGACGGAGCACCGTCCTATTTCAGCCGAGCAGCTAGACACTTGAGCGAACGATTCTCTAACGGGTGGATAGGCCCTATCGTAACTGCTATTCTCACAATTTCAGAATTTTTCTTCTTAGGATTATTTAGAAGCGTTTGTTTACGCAGAGAATAGAGCACATGCGATTCGAGTCTTTTTTATTGACTAGAAAGCCCACCACCACAGCTCCCGGTGGCGGAATTGTATCGTAGGTGATACAATACCGTCTCGAAATAAGCAACTCGGTCGGGACCAACGAGTTGCTTATTTCGAGGGAGGTATTCCATTCGGCTTGACTTTGTTCTCGAGCGAGACGAGGGAAACTCGTAGATAAAACAGAGGGTTCGGAGCAGCAGCAAAGTATAAAGTGATCGCTCGAGCATGGGTGTTATTCTTTGGAGAAGGGTAGAACATAACGTGATTTCTCATTTCAGCACTAGTAAAATCGAATTCATCGACTTCAAACAAAAAGATGGAGGTAGCGAGTCGCTTATTTCGAGACAATACTGTACATCGCCCAGGCGAATCGAGTCCTAGAATAATGTTACGTTCGCTCCAAGAAAGTAGTTGGTCGAGTTGTTCCTGGTCGATGGGTTAAACGGATAAAGGCTTGTGCGAACGACAGTGCGAATAGAGTACAAGCGTTATTAGTATTCGTGAGCATATATTGAACTCTTGATCCCACCACAACCCATCGCTACCGTACCGATCTCTCGTGAGAGCCATCCACGCGCTTCCCTCTGTTTCCACCTCCATCCGGTCGAGCTCAGAGGGGCCGCGTGTATCCTGCTCGAGAGACGAGCAAGGATTTCGTTGTTCGCGCTTCTTGCAGACATGTCGGATCGGTCGGCGGCTATCACGGTCATCGAAAATTCCTCGATTTCGCGGGCTCTCGTCGCGCGTCGTTCCTCCAGCCGATCGGATCATCGAAGAATCTCGGTGCAGCATCCGTAAAGAAATCTCGTGGCTAAACTTCGACTAAACGTCGTGTTAATTATCGCGACTATCGGTGTGTCGGTGTCCGCGTCTTCGAGTGATCGACTCGGTCCAGCTACGAGTCTATTCGCCAACGATTGACGGCTACTCTCGGTCTTATCGACACGGAATTGGAACTCGTCGGTCTCGATTGAACGACTTTGGCCTGGTGATACGTAAAACCGTCGGAAAAATCGCCAGGCCGTTACGAAACGGTACGTTCTCGCTGGTGCAGGTAAACGAGACGGTACTCCCTGTAAATTCTATTTGTCGACAGGTTTTCCGATCGATGGACTAAATTTAACGTTCCGTTAAGCCGCGGGAACGGATCGAGTCGACCGTTTCGCGATTAACGAGCATCGGCTGACTGTTGCGTCGACGATTCCATTTCTCCAAGATTCTATCCGATTAATCCACCGAGTGCTTTCTCTCGCGTTAGTTCCAGTTCGGTCATTCGTGGTTTCGTTGTAGACGCGTACATATCACGCTTGATGTTTGAACGATTAAAGAGGATAACTTTGCTCGCTCATTTCGGATCGACTGAAAGTAGATATCCCGAAGAGGAAAGGTGTCGTAAGCCCGATGATCCTGTCGCGTGGGAAACATTTCAAGTGTAGTTTAATATTTTCCTCGGTATTATTATTTCCGTGTAATCCGAAGGGAACCCCAAAACAAAGTTAAACAATTAAATCTACTTGGATGGCACTCGAGAATCTGCGAATGGAAACCATTTGCGTAAACCCTCTTGAAACTCGTGATAGCCCAGCAACGAGCTGCATATAAATTAATCATTTCGAACTGTGCTTTCGACCCTCCGAAACAAATATATCTATACGTATAAATAAAATTGAAGCGTCTGCCTGTCTGTTTCATCGGACTAATCTCCGAAGCTACAGAATCGATTTTTAAAAAATTGTTCAGTAATAGAAATCTACACTATCCCCGAGTAACATAGACGAGTAACAATAACGTTTTATTTTGATAAAAATACGTTTTCAATTTGAAATCTAAAAATTTGCAAATATAGCCGTGGCATCGTTATACTCACAATGAGAAATATCGATTGAATCGTCCGTGTTACGGAAAACAAAAGACAGTCACCTAAACGATTCACGAAGTAACATGCGGTTGAACGGCCAGTCGAACGCGAACGAATAAAAATAAATAAAATAAATAGTATTCCGCGCGGGTGAAACCGCGGGGTGCAGCTATATAGAATAAGAATACTATTCCACGCGGGTGAAACCGCATAGCTGGCCTAGAATAAAAGTCAAACGGGAGCGAGAGTAGTTATAGAATTTAAAAAAACAAACTCGAGGTAGAAGGACGCATCAGGTCGATTATGTTCTCGCGGTATTTCAAAGATGATCTCGTTACGTACTTTCACAAGAAAGTACTCCTCGATCTGTTTTGCTCCCAATAGACGGATACATTTGTCTCTATCGAAAGCATTTCGAAACTAGGCTACTTTCACTCTTAACTCTATCACGATTATTATGTAGGCGGATTCGTGTTACGATTGCGCGCGATAGGGGCGTAAAATAGACAAAAAATAAATAATTAAAATATCAATGTATCCATGAGTCGAGCATTAAATAAAATATTCGTAAATAATCGAAGAAGCGACGGCCGACAGGGTGTGCATGCGACAGCGAAAAATCGTCCATCGAGAAGTGTTGTGACAGGACCACCGGCCTGAGAAGGAAGCGGCTCACCTAAATTATTCGGTTCGCAGGTCCATGTCCGTCGAATAAGTGGGCCGGTCAGTCCCGAGGCTATAGGCCAGTCCGAGTTTCGTACTGGAAGATCGACCACGGACGGAGAACCGTGCTGACGAGAGAGAAAGGGCGAAGATTGCCGGAAAAGAAAGCAGAGATCGTTGGACGCTCCGTTGAGAGATATGAGTCACCCGTTCCATCGTGAATGAGCCAGAGATGGTCCAAGTTCTTATCCGGAGAAAGATTTTTAAGGAATCGAAGATAAACGACGAACGAAGCGAAGTACTCGAGTCACCTGTTGTGCACTATACGAGTGAAATATCGTCAATCCTCGAATAAAATATCCAGCGTGGGACAGGGACTTCCGATCTAGATTAGAGATTACGAGAAAGAATACGGTATCGAGGATCTCCGAGCACGTTGAATCAAGTATGTAAGACGCGTCTTGGTGGTGATCGAGAACGAAAGATCACTGGAAGCTGTTCCCAGGGTGAACGAGGAAGAAAAGGTCGATCGGAAAACGCGGATGAATTGAATAGTTCCAAGGGAGTCGAGGAAGGCATCCTGCAAGGGTGATTTCCAGGCTGCTGGCGAGAGGACAAGATAGGAAGAAATAGGAACGACCGAGGAATAAGTGGAAAAGGACAAGATGAGCAGACGAATCGTGCCACCGGCTGGGCTAAACTCCTGCGAGAGGATAAGGCCTGAACGACCCAGGAACCCCATCCAGAGACTCGTATGGGGTCCCGGATCTCAATTTCTAGTCGGTCAAATCGGCTTGCCCGAGGACGAGGGCTCGAATCCACGAATGGCTCTCAGAAGGTACGTTGTTCAGGTTCGTTTGCGACGAAATCGATGCTATTCCATTGCTGTTAACCCTCCAGCCCTCCGCGTGATTCTTGCTTTGTATAAATTAAGTAAAAAATTAATAGGAATTTTTATTAGCATTCGAATCAAATTTGTCTCGTCTATAGACAATCGAGGAAACGAAATTACCGGAAACGAAATCCGACGATATTCGTCGGATCGCGCGTGTGCCTCGCGATAAATTGCTCCGCGGTCGGAACGGGTTATTGCACCTGTCGAAACCCGCCACGATTATGGTTATATTGATCGGTTAGACGACGGAACAGGTTCGTTAGGTTCCCTAGGGCGCGACCAGATACAACGCGGGGTAACCGATTCCGAGCGTCGATTACGCTTATCTGCAACAGAAATTTCTATCGATTACTCGTTGTCATCGTACAATTCGATGGCCCGTCTTTAACCTTTTCGTTCTCGAATCAATCAGCGACGAGAGAAACGTCGTGGTTGCAGTTGAATTATGAAACGTGTGGCCTCGCCAAGCATGGAGCAATCGGAGGGTTAGCGTACGCTAAAGCAAACGCGACAATAGCCAAATTCCCATTGAGCTCGATCAACGTCCTCGATCCGAGACTGTCAATCCTCAAAACAAACGTTTCCTTTGAACAGACTCCTGAGGCTGTACGAGGGAAGACAGTATCGCGAGGCAGCCGGATTCCTGATGAAGCTGCCGCACTATACGCTAAAAGCGACCCTGCCGGACATACCGGTGGACCTGTTGATCGAAACGCTGCCACACAGTCTGTCCCTGCTGGAGGCACTCTATTCGAGGCTCCTCGAGCTGAACGTCAGCGACACGAAGATCCTGCGCGTAGAACAGGTCCTCTGGAGAATCGTGCATCTGATCTCGATTAGCCAGGATCACTTCCGCTTGAGAATTTGGTGCAAACTGCTAGTGTCCCTGGGTAGATTGGCTCCCAACGCGAGGAACATGCTGATGGCTAGGAAGAGGGCTTTGGAGAGGGCAGTCGAAGGACTTGGGAAACACGGACTCGTGGCTTCGCCTCAGACCGGCAATTTAGAGAACGGCGGTGCCGCGAATCTGCTTCCTTTGCCTGTGGCCCTCAAAGAGGAACTCGAGAACAGGATAGACGCGTACAAGCTGGCCGTGCACAAGATCGAGAGCTTCGGGAAGAACGCCAGAACGCACAAAGGTAACTGTTATCTGAATCGCTAAACAAAATATTAGGGTGAAAAGTTCGTGACTTTTTCACCTTGTTTCAGTTCGTGCAATTTTTTGAAGTCATTAAAATTACTTTATACGCGAGCTTTTGATAAGCTCTTTCGTATTGAATTATTAACTACATTAACTTATCGATTCGAGTACTTTTACGACGCTACTGGAAGCTAGAGTTTCGAACTACCGTATATAATATTTTCTTTCATTCTTCAGTAGCATTAAATTCTTGCTTCCAGTAGCGTCGTGAAAGTACTCGAATCTAAAAATTTATTTAAATAAATTAACGTAGCTGATAATTAAATACGAAAGACTTTTTCAAATGATACGAAATGATATATAACACTCGCATATGAAATAACTTTAATGACTTCAAAAAATTGCACAAACTGAAACAACGTAAAAAACGCAGGAACCTTTGGTTCACCCTAATATTCCAAGATATTGGATAGTATTGGTCGTCGATGGGAAGAATTTGGAGACGAGAAATCTGCGTCGGAGTCTTCTCCTTCTTGAATATATTGCGCGATAGAAATATACACGAATACGCGGAGAAAGTCTGAAAGTCTAAGGCTTAAGGCGACGCGATGCGCTGGACCCGATCCGATTACTGCCATCCGGAGTTTGAAATGACACACCGCGCGTTCGGTTGCGTTACTTACCGAGTTCCACTTATCGCGACCGCGGGAATCTGCTCTCGCGAGGAACGACATCGATCCGATTCTCAAGATCGTTCAAGGAGACCTTCGTTCGAGAAAAGTCGGGAGTGAATTACTCTTTTTTAGTCGAGACAGGGAAAATTGATAATTAAACGTAGTACGCAACATAATCACATTGACACATATAGGGAATGATCCTTTGTGAGAACTTGTGAGAAACGCACAAACACGCGGTGTTCCTCTAGTGGTGAGGACAGGAGATGCCAGCACATCTGTAAGACCCACTGGCCACGGAGACGTCGCTGCATCGGGCGCGTATTAGATATTTTACGCTTATTGTACGCTTCATTGCCACAACAAACGTAAAAGAATGGACATCTGTCCACGAAGCGTCAGTTTTCGTCGCGAAGCCCGGCGTATGACGTTGTCGGTCGATAGGCGTATTATTTTTTTATGAAATTTCTGCATATATTTATTACACTATGTCGGTAACGATATCTGTTCTTTTACGTTTAGCGTATGCTTCGTGGAAAGAATATTACCGAGGGCGTATTTATTGGCGCGTCAATCCAATAACGTTGCAAAGAAGATTTTTTAAAAATTGTTATGCAGATATATTTATTTCAAAATGAATTTCAAGGGGACCGTAGAAGGCTTCAACTGTGAGATATCTTCGTTGATGTCGCGTTGCTCGCGAGACACTAGATATTACGGTACACGCGTCGCTGGCTTTCTTGGCGCAAGAACGCGAGCATGTCCCGATGCTCACGGTCAATGTTCGAACGCGTATAGATCCACGGAACCGTGAAGTAGTGAACATTAACGCAGCTGCGGCGGACGCGTTACATTTCCAAATGCAAATACAACGTACGATGCGGTAGACGCTAATGCGTTTACACGCGCAGCCGGTTTCACTCGTGGCGTACATCGACATTGCTAAATGCAACGTAGAACATCCTCCTCTGGCTCGCCTCATCTTTCGACCTTTGCGCTACGATAAATTACGCCGCGTTCTGGAACACATGGGACGATATATGGAGCTAAAAACACTGTGAAACAAGTAAAGTACAATTAATCCTTCCGTAACGCGGCTAATTCACGAGCTCGAATGTTTTAAGTTTAAATCGAGGACTCGTCGCAACGACGATTCTTCGCTGAGATCGATGAGCGCAGTGAATACGATTTCAACGACGCGTCTCTCATGTTTCCGATAATTGACGAATAATTATCGGCGCTGAATTTATCACGATTCGGAATTTCATTTGGTGCCCGAATCGAAAGATAATTGAATGTCGCGCGCGCGTCGATCGTATAAAAGCGCGAAACAGGTCGATCGCGAAGGATTCTTGTCTGTGTTGAAACAAACGCGCGGACGAGAATCTATTTCGACGCGATAGCGGGAATTGAATGACCTAACTAACGCGTTCATTGAACGATTTCGAAGGGTACACTGAATAATTCTTTAGAAAAATTAGTACAAGTAGCGTTGCTCCGTGTAATTTATGCTAACGCGAACATCGGCTACGTCGACCATCGATCGAATGGTCCCACTGGCAAGTGAAATCATAGGTTTCCCGCGCGAAAGTAAGTAGCGTCTCATTTTCAGCGGACCAAGGTGTGCAGGCTGCATCGCATCAGCGGCAACTTTCGCTCAAGTATAGCGAGATTCAGCAAAGGCTCATCGATAATCAGAGTCTGCTGAACACGCTAGAGAAAGCTGGCGACCCGAGCGGCTTAGAAAGTCTGCTGTCCGAGCTGAAACGAAGGGTCGAACAAGACAAGGAAGCTCTCAGACAATGGACGGCCTTGAGGAAATCCACGCTCGGCGGCAACACCAAAAATCCACCCTTGGCTGCGAAGCTTCTGCAGTTCTCCAAGGGCTGCGACCTGGCCTTGCAACTGATGCACCAGGACAATCTACAGGTACGATACGCTTAAGATTTTCTAATTAAAAATAGTAGCGAAATGCTTGTAAACTTCCTCGGTTTCATTGGTTACGATCGAGGATATTTTCCATTCTTTATATTCGAGATAGAAACGCGAAAAGGAGCGCGTAGAACGTAAAATGATTCGAACGAGCAGGATTCGCCATCGTAAGCACTAGACGTCCCACGAGATCGGGGCTCAGCAGAGAGGAGGTTGATGAACACAGCTAGATTCGCGAGCGTAAAGTCTCTAACCACGTGAAATCCCTTAAGGACCCTTTCGTGATCTTAAATTACACGAGTGTACTCGCAGAGACCGTATCCCTGCAACTCACGAAAACGCGGACTCGGTTTATCGATCGTGAAGCTTTCCCTGCAACGCACGTACACTAAACAGGACGATAAGTTGTTTAAAAAAGAAAGCATCGTAGAATTTATACAAAAAGGGAACGTCTTTTTAACACATTACGAACGACTGACGAGATACGACTCGTGTTTCATATTACGTCGTCCGACCACTGGGCATGGTTAGCAATAAAATGTCTGGTCCGCAATTTGTTAAAATATGTTAGAGTAGAAAACTCCCTCGAACGATTTTCGAAGCATCGCGCGAAACGTCGATTTCCAGGTTTCCTTTGATCGACGCTGGATGCATCGGTTATCGATTACGGGTAAATGCAACACCGCGTATATACAGATTGTCGTATTAAACTTGTATCTTCGTTATAGGTAGTCGATGCCGCGGTACGTGTCCGAGATATCCGGTCAAATTTTCATGCACAATTTGCAAACGCGTTGCATCCAATAACGACGGAAACGGTCTGCATCGGTGATTGAAATAGCAGCGTGCGTCCGCGCGATTGTCCGTCAGGGCTGCAATTAATAAATATTTAGGCACGTGTTGGAATCGCCGAGCGGTTTCCTGTTCTCTGTAAAATTGCGAAGGCTACGCGCAGCCTCTGCGGTGGTCGACGGTGTCCCGGGAATTTCCCTCGGCACCCTCCGGATCGTTTCGTGCTTCGTTTCGCGCCGCTAATGAAAAAAACGGATCTTTGTTGCCCGACCAGATCTAACCAGAACGTTGCACGAGGCGCGAAAAAGGCTCTCGTGACGCGAATAAAGGGAAAACGCGGCAGTAATCGACATTTTTCAATCTGGAGGAGATCGTTCGCTTTAAAAATTTCCATGTGTTTTAAAGCCACCGTTAATGCACGAAATTAGTAATCGCAGAATGCGTTTCGATTCGCGTATAAATTATTACTAAATAGAAGACACGAGATAAAATACGTTAAACGATGGGGATTTTCGCGAAGCTCGCTCGAAAGTTCGAAACTCTGGTGCGAGGATTCGGTCGGCAATTTTGAAACGTCAGAAGCAGACGAAACGAAATGTGTCCGTTCCTTTCGATTCGAGACCGCTCGAAAAGTTGCCAACGGCGTAGAAAATGCACGAGCTCGGTACCAAAGACGTGGCATATTTCCGCGCAGGTATTCCAATTGGATGAGAATCTGGCGGACGACTACGAGGAGGAATCCAGCAGCAGCGCTGGCTATCACACGGACGAGAGTTGCAGCCCGACCCCCGAGCCGGTGGTTAGGAACAGCTGCGAGCTTCGCGGGACGGAAGAGAATTTTTCGAGTTTAACTTCCGGCGATGTGACCGCCGAACGACTCGCCGAAAGATACGCCGCTCTCTACGGCCAGGCGCATTTGCATACCCTGGACGCTCTGGACGCTCTGGAACCCCTCAAGAACGCGCCCGACTTGAAAGCCAAGATTCTCTATTCAGTGGTCGTGGTAAGTGGCACTTTATGCTAAGTAGGAACAATCACACCGCTGCCACCCCTAATGCGCTTGCAACCCCTTTCGTCAAAGAAACCCAGTCGACGGTTAAGTACGACTCGTTACCAAGAGTGTCTCTATTTAGAGAAGAAGTAGCGGCGGGAGAAGAATAAGGGACTCGGAGCTCGTCGCGTGGAATCCACGACTCGAAACTCTAACCAAATTTTCAGATTTACTTAATATATGTATATCTATACAGGGTGACCCCGTAACTGGCGGTACAAGCGAGCAGAGGGCGATTCTACGTGAAAAATGAAATCGAAGAGGTAGAATAAAATTTTGTTGCGTGACGCTTTATTTTCGAAAAAAGTTTGAAAATTTGTCGAAGTAACTTTGCTCTCCTTATTAAATTGCATCGAACGTTTTCTAATGTGTCGTTGTATAATTTTAATCGTTCAAACGCTATAATAATTTTTTGTTTGAATTGTTCAACTCTCGTCGTGTCGTCGCTGTACACAATCGACTTAACGTGACTCCACAAATAAAAGTCTAAAGGCGATAGATCCGGATCCAGCAGTGATAATTTTCTTTTAAATGGCATCTTACTTCTCTACTATAGTATGGTGGTGCTCCAGCTTGTTGAAAAATTAAATTTCTTCGAATCGTAAGAGGAACATTTTCCAATAATTGAGTACAATAATCAATAATATTTTTTTCGAAAATAAAGCGTCATATGAAACAATTTTATTCTACATTTTCGATTCAATTGTTTACATAGAATCAGCCCCCACTCGCTTGTACCACTCGGGGTACAATTACGGAGCAACCTGTATATTTCTGTACACATCATGAGGTTTCGCGAACGCGAGGCTGTCCCCTCCAGCCATGAGTTTCTAAAAACAGTGACACGATCCTGATTTCTCGTCAGTTCTGCCTGTTCGACCGCGTCATTTAAATTAAAGGATAGGTCCATCCAACGATCAAAGAATCGTTTGTTTCGAGCATTCTTTCTCGACCAGAAACGTCGGAGGGTTAACGATCGAACAAATTACTCGAATTGATTGTAGACTCGGGCTTGCCAATCATCGCGTCGCTATATTTCGTTTGGTCGCACTTTCTTGTCTCCCTTTTTGCCCGCGCCTTTTCGTCGACGATATCGTTGTCAAAGTGCCGCGGAGCGTGGCTTTTGTTGCCGTACGAACCGATAGGTGTTCACGGGAAACCGTTAAGTGAAAATTGCCTTTTGTTTCGCCAAGCCCTTATCCTCGGGTTCCAGTTTAACGGCGCCGATATTAGCGACGTCGGTTTATGTTTTCATAGTTTTTTAAAGCCCGCAAGTAGTAATATCGTAGTAAAAACAACGATAATTATTCTTAAAGCTCCGGGAATATTTCAAGAAAAATTGTCCTTCGTTCGTCGCACTCAAAATACGCGACGCAGCGGAAAATAAAAATTTTCCCTTTTATTAAAATTTATACGACGAAAGCCTGCGGTTCCTCAGGCTCAGGCAATATTGCTCGTAATCTTTCAGAAACTCTCTTATAAATTCTCACGACCATTCCCATGACACTTTTGTCACGGTTTGTAAGGAAAGTTTCAGCGATGAAGCGACCAGCGTCGAAAGATTCCTCTTTACATTGCTGCCGCGATGATCGGTAGCGCCCCTCGAATCGGCGTATGTATTTCCACGTACAAGAGAAACCGATTCCTCCAAGCCCCGCGGTATGCGCGGAGTAATAATTTTCAAATTGGAGAATTTCGGTACCGTGATAACAGTTTCCCGTGAAGCTCACTTTCCTCGACGAAACTCTCCCGTAATCGCGCAGGTGTGGACTCGTTTATCGTCGAAAATTAATGGTAAAACTTGCAGAATTTCCCAGGGAAATCCTCATTAGCCATTGAAACAACGTAACCTGGTACCTCGGCTATTTTCCAACGGACCTCCTCGTAACGTGGATTAGTTGCTTCGCGGTTCGGTTATTCGGTCGGAAAATAATGTTGCCAAAAGTGGGAAATCTGTCTAGCGAATAATTACGAAGTTGAGTCCTCGTGAAACATATCTCAAATTCGTCGCGGCTTCTGAAATTATATGTGCTCGGTTATCGCACCGACGAAAACTGTTTTCGTCAAAGGCACGGAGAACCACCGCTTGGCATATCGGTCCGCGTCGATAGCCCAGCGAAATTCGCGCAACGCTTTGGAAATCTAATTTCTCGAGGAATCTGTACCGAGTGGTTCGTTATCTGACCCAAATCTAACCCGTTCGCTTTCAATTGGAGTACAACATCTCTTTAAAATAACCTTAACTCTCTATCGTGTTAATATATATATATGATTATTCGCACATACCTAGACTAACAATAAGCTAAATATGTAGAAAGCGGCGAAATCTCTGAAGCTATTAGGTATTCGCATAAAAAAAAAATATCAAACTCTGTAGAATCTCCTCGGTGTGCTCGTTCTCTACTCGTACTGGAACAGTCCCGTTAATCGGGTATCAATTAAAGATGCACACATTATTTTTGTTATCTGTGCAATTTCTTCGAGGATATTTTATAGGATCCAGCTAATCGTGATTTGCACGGAGAAACTCGAGTAAATGCAAAGGTATTGCAGTAGAGAGGATCTCGATGGAGAGAGAAAAAGAGGAAAAATCGATGCCCAATAGGAAAGGTACACAAAAGCCGGCGCGGGACGCGAATAAACACTTGTCCGGCACTCGCGTCCCTGCGGGAAAACACCTAACGGCTTCACTTCTTCGAGTGGGCTACTCTTGTTCCGGGTTGTTTCTTATCGTTTCTGTATCCGTATGCGACAATTTTTGAAAGATCGATTCGTTCGAGTTGGAACAAAATAGTCTGTTCAACGCGGTGTCTTTGATAAAAAAATTTCGAGCGATGCCGTTACCATCGCGATAGCGACCGAGTTAGGAGACCGCTCGAGGAAGCCCGACAAATTTGAAGCCATCCTAACCGACTCGTATTCGCCGCCAGCTCGCAATGAACGATCTAGTCGATATGAGGCCGGGCTCGCGACATGACTATGCAGGGGAAAAAGCAATATTGCCGCCTATCCCGTCCCTTGTCGCGCGGAGAGGAATGGACCAGCGCGCAATTAAGGTACGAAGGGGCAGATGAAGTCCGGCGAGAAACAAAAGGCACGAATTTGCCAAACTGGAATTTACCCGCGGAACTAGTTTTCTAACTGGCATCGCGCGTTACTCGCCAACGACGAGATACCACGGTTCCTTTGTCGAACCAAAAATTTTGCAAAAGGTGTCGATACAAATACGTGGAGCTGAGTCGAGACGCGTACGCCTCTGCTCCGGTTGTCGCTTAATTATTTCGCGTGCCGAGCGTGCGAAATAATTGCGAGCTATACACAATGGAGAGACTGAGAATCGTTCGGACAGATAATTTGCTCCTCGGTTTGCTTCTATCTAACTGTTGTCGCTACACCGTTACGAGCCGAACAGTTCTCGCACGCACGGCCCGTGTTTCACGCTCTACTCGTTTTATTATCGTCCTTTTCTCTCGGGTCAGAAGACTCTCCTTTTATTTTTTCGGATTTTTCGTCGGTGTCACGGCGGGACGGTCATAAACAACGATATCGTGGCTGTATCAAGAAACGCGCTAGATCGATACCTAGCCCAAGTCCTCGATTTGGTCGTTTCGGTGGAAGTGACCTTGAAATTATAAAAATGGGGAGCGGGGGGGTGCATTAATAAGAGGGCAACTTTTTCAAATTTTTGGGGGGAATTAATGAAACGTTTCAGCATTCAGATTTTTGAAACTTTCTGTCGTTTTCTTTTTCATATCGTAGCATAGATGTCTAATTATGAAATTATGTCGTTTCGGATTCCAACCTTTCTTTTCGAGCAGCGGGGGAAGGATTAACGTTTGAAGCTGCCTCCTTATAGCGCACCGCTCTGAAAGACACCTGAAATTCAAGGGATTTTTTGAACGAAGGGAACAAAATCTTCTCTCAAACGCATGTTTATTTTATTCTTAAAACATTTGGCAATACAAACAAAACATGCAGAATACAAAATATCGTAAAATTAGTGAAAAATTCATTCTCTGTAAATTCGTGCTCTGTCTCCGTCAAATCGGCATCGTCAGTTTTTCTAGCGACCGGAACTGTCTCCTTATTGCATCACGAAAAAAAAGAGGAATTTCTTATATGAAACTGAATGATGATGATGTTTTATTTAAAAAATTAGTTTCATATAAAAAATTCCTCTTCTTTTTCGTGATGCAATAAGGAGAAAGTTCCGGTCGTTAGAAAAACCGATGACGCCGATTTGCCTGACGGAGACAGAGCACGAAGAAGAATGAATTTTTCACTAATAGTCCTGGCTTTCCGAAGGCTGGCTACAAACGTCTAACCAGGTGCGTCTTGATCCCCTGTCAGGATTGAACTTTCTTTCTCCTCGCGATACGCGCCAAACTCTTTCTTCCGTTTTCGTAACGACTATTTAAACTCGCGGTATGGCCCGTGCTTACTTCTCCATCCATATGCTTCGAATTGCCTCCTTTCTCCCTTTTTCCCCCCTGAGTGTTTCTCGTTTTCGTAGACAGTCGCGTACAAAAGCGTCTTTTATTACACGGCGCGCGTCGTTTATTCCGGTAGCTCGCCACGGGGGATCGGATTGATAGGTGGAGAAAATAGAAACACGGAGATCCGGAAAAACGAATCGACGCGCGGGACAATATCAGCGACTAGCACCCCCGCGCGCTCGCGACGTGTCCGCGAAAGATTCGATTGGTCTGTCGTTGAAAAAGAAGGAAAATCGAGACGGAGGTGGCGTCGAGGTGCGCCACGTGCCGAACGATACACGAAGATAGAGAGACAGAGAGTCGCTTTGGTCGTAGCTATTTATTTTAGCTCATCGATTTCTCGGGGCACAACGGTGTGTGGAAATGTATGTACCTGTATGTATGCAAAGTAATACCCCCAGGCTGACGCGGACTAGCACCTCTGCCACTTGCCGGGTACACTCGATCGCAAAAGTGCACCCTCGGCACCCCTCTCGCGACAGCTTTGACGTTAATGGTCGATCGATCGGTCGAGAGACAGGTGCGTGGTGGTAGAGATGGCCGGTGACGGCAAAAATAATCTTTGGCTATACGTGTGTATTAACGATGGGATCAAGCATATCGCGGTTACCATCCGAAGGGTGGGACGTACTCGAATCCTGTATCAATTCGTTCCCAAACTGTCACAGGACTAACGAATACAATAGCCAAGCTAAATTCGATGATTCGTTTGGATTCCACGAGCTATATTTCGATATTCGCGTACTTTTCGCACTACGTAGTGTAGCGTGCGATGATTTTGAAGACATTCGAGGTCGAACGTCCAATCAGTGTAGTTGCGTGCAGAGGGTGAGAACGAGTACGACGAAAAACCATTATCAATACAAAATTCTGCAAAAGCTTTCGTGTAAAAATTTCCCAAAATTGGCCCGTTTTTTGGGAAAAGTGTCGGGTGAGTTACAACCCTTAATTAAAGTACACCCCCTTGTTCGGGGCCAGCCAGCATTCCTAAGCTCGGTCTCGGGACGATCTCGCGACCGAGGGATTTACGAGTTGGGAAAGAAACAGGGTAGTCTCGGTGTTCCAAAGGGGCAAGATTTCCTTTTTTCTTCTCCTTTGACCGACGCGAAAGTCATCCCGTGGAGACTGAGCACTTAGGCGGGATCCGCTTTGATAATCCTATGATTTATTCACGGCGGAAAATGGATTTCGCTTTGACCCGCGCTTTTTACGGCATCGTTTCGTCCGGATTCTGTACTTTGAAACGTTTCGCGGCGTGAAATGTATTTTGCGGAGTTTCTTCTTTTTTTTCTTTTTTTTTTTTTAAATTTACGCGTCGAGCGGAAGAGTCGATCGGATTCGCGTTCAGCGGGCGGGAAACAATTGTTCGCGCTTCATTTCGCGTCGTTTCAACGATCCAATTAAAAAAATTTCACACCGAAACGGTCCGATGAAAGCTTTCGACGGGATCCCGGCTCATTTATCGCGCCGGGGAAAATTAGTCGAGCGAGCTTTTCACGAGATATTCGAAACGAATGCAATTATACATCGTGTAAACGTACGTTCGATGAGATAGCCAAGGGTGCTTCCCTCCGTTTCAGTTTGAAAATTAAGCTGTATGGTCTCTTGTTTTAAGGGAAGGATTAACGGAAGATTTTAACCCGTGGGAATTGTTAACGACACCTCTGGATATGTTTCGTCAAGCTCGAACGCCTCCGCTCAGCGTTAAATTATTTCCAAACAAAGCGGCGGATGAGCGTCGAGAGATTGTTTCGAAACAATCGAGGGGGACCCCTTTATGTTTGCTCGGATTCCCCGCTTTTCAGCCGGGAACGCTCTTTTCGTCTCGCTGAAAAAAATAAAGGTAAACTTCCTCTGTTCCGATTCTCGACGCTTACCGAGCACGCGGTTTTCCCTCTTTTATACCCCACGCGACGCGAAACGTGTTTCGATGTCTTGGATTCGGCGCGATAAGCGTTTTAATTTCCTGCCTACTCTCTGGATTCGACCAGGATTACTCCAGGGTTCGCCCGATAAGGACCGCTCGCACCTCGAAACTAAGGAAATACCTCTGACGAGCGTGGCTAAATTGACCAGAACTCCATCGTTTTTCACTCGCGTTTATCTTGAGAATATACGCTGAAACATGAAGACAGTATAAGGAGATCCACCTCCCTAAGAAAGTTACTAGAAAACTGTTATCAAAATCCCGAAATTGAAGTTATGAATATTTTTACCACTCGCGGCGCAAATGCGCACTGACTACGATATGTATATGTCATATGTGTATGTATTATCATATATATATATATAACATATGTATATCGTAGTCTGTGCTCACTTACGCCGCGAGTGGTAGAAATATTCATAAGTTCAAGCTCGGGATTTTAATGACACTTCTACACTACACAGTTAGGACTCCTTAAGCCGGCGACTGACTTACAACAGAACATTGTAATGTAACGCGAGCATTCGCTGTCTGGATGGACTTAGCGAGCGACGAACCGAGCCGCTCTTGCGCTTGGTTCGCGCTCTTGCGTGCTCCACTGGTCTGTCGGTTTTTTGACGAACCTCTTTGATCGTCTACGTTTTCACTGAATCGAGTAGGAAGCACCGAGAGAGAATTCGGCCGAGAGTTCGAAACGAGCATTCGTGATTCCAAAAACGACCTTGTAATGTAACGCTGATGCCGAACCGTACAATTCGTGCCGAGCAGTTACGTTACAGCGTTCTGTTGCAAGTCAGTCGCCGGCTTTATACAGTTCTTCATGGGCTGAAACAAACGAATCGCGTTGGTCGTTCGAAATTCGTTAAATCAAGGTCCGTTAACATTTGAGGGGTTTTGTTCGCAGCTCTCCTGGCGTTTGGCGGGTATGATTCAGACATCGAGATACCTGGAGGCGCTGAAGGTTCTAAACGGTGGTACCACGGCGCAGTCGGCGACGCCGGGGCTGGAGGAATGCGTGAAGCGGCAATTGGCGACTTCCGGTGCCCGAACCGGTTCCCAGGAGGTCGCGGAACAGGTGGTCAGCCAGCTGGAGAGAACGCTGTACGACTTTCCGTGTCTGCAGGGATGCGCCGAGGTCAAAAACTACGCCACTGCGTGCTCCAATTTGGCCTGGGCCTGTTTGGCGCGTGCCACGCCGTTGGTTCTCGACGTGGCGCAGGCTTTAGAATTCAGACGCGAGGTGCACGTGAGACATCACGCATCACCTGCACCAAACGGCACGAGGATCAAGACGGTATTGTGGCCTGGCTTGAGGGAAGGCTGCCAAGGACCTTGCCTTCACAGGGCAGTTGTTCTCACGTCTTGAGACGGGGAGGGGGAGGAGGAAGGGTAATCGAGTCCCGTAAAGTTAAACGTCGACCTTTCTTTAATCCCTCGTTTTGTTCGATTACGTGTACTCGTGTTAAAACGGTAAGAGGTTAATATACGGTACGCCAAAGTTTAACAACTTTGCGAAACTATATTTTTCGTGTATCATTTGAAACCAACCACTCGCCACTGGGACAAGAGCTGTTATTTTTACGAGGGAGTTTAAAAAAGTTTGGAAACCACCGGCTCGAGAGTTACGATCCGATCGAAAGCGAGGGGAAAAGTTTGTTTCGAGAAACGTCGGGAACGTTGAATAAATGAATCGAACGGAATCGAAGGAGAATCGACTCCTTGGAAATAGTTTCTCGAGCGTTCGCGTCCGACAGACCGTACGAATTAATTGAACGAATCGACGGGTGAGTCGGTCCTCGAACCGTGGAAAGGAATCGTATACGAAGTGGCTCGCGAGGGCGACGTCTACGCCATTGGCTGCTCCGATTTCCACGCGTGCTTCGTCGCGATCTTGAATTTCCCAAGGGGAACTGGAATTACATTTATACGCCGCCTTATGTAACAGAAACGCGTCGCACTCTTTACCGTCGCGAAATAGGGGTTTAGCGTTGCCGGGCATGATGGGATTCTTTAAAACCGCTCGGATGAGATATCGGAGTTGTTTTCAGAATCGCTGGATCTCGACAGCCCGGGATTAAGTTCGCGTTAACGGAGTCTACTAGCACGGAGTCTATCAGCAACTGTACATCTTCGATATCCTGATTAACTGTACAAAGAGCACTTTCATTTTTTTTCAGTACTACGATAGTATAGAGCTACGATAATAATAGGTAGACTGGAAAGTAATGTCGTTTCTTTTACATTAAATTCAAATGAATTTTTCCATTTTTAATCGATTATGTAATCGCCCTCGTTATCAACAGACTTTTGCCATCTAGTGTGCAGTATTTAAAATTTCAAAAACGACGTTACTTTCCGATCCACTTAATATTGTTGTCTTATGCAGCTGGAAACAACGAGGTTCGTATACGCGATTCAACCTTGCATAGAAGATTCTGTTTCGTCGTTACCTTCACGGATTGCGCTCGAAATAACCTTGCATTTCAACGCATGCCTGAAGACGTCTTGTCGCTGGTCCGGTTACTCTTTTGCTACTTCCTACAGTTACTTAATTCATTTCTCGAAAACTATTCGATTCTATGTAACGACGATTACGATGCAATCCAGTACTTCAGCGTTACCCGTTTCGTCGTTTAATACGGTTTTTTGTTCGGTCGCGCAACCGAAAACCGGGCTACCACGCTCGGGCAAAAAAGTTCCCTGAAAGTTGTTCCGAGAAACTTTTCGCGCGACACATGTCGCGTCCGTAAGAAATTTCTTCGCGACATCGCGGACGTATCGTGTAAGTTTGCGCTCGAGGAGTGGGCACAGATGCTCCGGAAATATCTATAGGCGGTTGGCGAAACTCGACGTCCGAAATTCTCCTTTGACGCGACTAAAAATTGTTTGTTCGATACGTATTAATAGAAACTTAAAGAGAAGGGGATGACGCTAAAGAATCATCCCCGACAGAATATAAAGAACTCGAACGCTGGCTCTGTCGATCACCATGCGATAAACCCAGAAGAAATTATCTCCCTCGCGACGATCCCCTTTGACAGGAGCTACGTGTCCTTCGCGAGAATAATAAGATCCTTTGCGGACTTTAAATTCGACGATAAATTATTCCCTTCCGTAGGAAGAGCTCGCGAACGACTCGATTCGCTAAGCTTACTTATTCCCAAGTGGAGTGATTTTAGGTGTGCATTAATGTATATTTGAAAACCCCACGAAGTAATTAAGGACGATTTTGTTCCTTAATCGGTATTATCCTCGCTTAAATTCGAGCTTCGAGGATTAGAGCTCGCGTACAACACCGCGTTCCTTCGCTAGAAGACGTTAAGACTGGTTGCTCAAGGGATTCTTTTAGTCTAAAACTTCAAACACGTCTTTCTATGAATTTTCTACTCGAACGCTATCAACGGTAAAGCTTACGGTAAACTTTGTGCGAGAAATAGAAAAATATCGAAATATTAAAAGTATTAAAAATTTATTCGATCGTTTCTTAAAGCTTTTCTCCCAATTTTATTTCCCTTGACAGTCTAACGTTTAAAACAACCCCCGGACAATCGAGGTTCTGCTATAATTAACGCGCGGCCTGCGATAATTCTCAACAAGCCAGTGACGAAGCATCCAGACGAATGCAAACACCGAGCATTCCGAACGTAGCGGGCACTGAAGCTCGCAAGCCATGTAACTTAATTGCCAAACCAATGGGGACCCGTCCTTTGACCAGATAGCATCTCAAAGTAAACGACCGCAACGTTACTCCAACTTCTTTCCCGGGGCGTTCCTGCAAATCAGCTGTCGAGGTTAAAGTACCGTAACTACTGGTCACGTATTTCCAAGATTTATTATAAACCTCATTTTCTATATACATCATTCATACATCGTGTTTCAACTCTCTCCTATTTAATCGTAACAAGTATAAAAGTACGTGAAGCGCTCTAACGCTTTGCCTCTGTTAGTTTTAAACGTTCTTTCCAGTTCGGGCAAGAGTTGTTTGCAGAGATCTTAAAAAGGTACGGTTTAATAAAAAAAAAAGAAGAATGAACGTGGAAGAACTACTCGAATAATAAACGCCCGACTTTGGTCGAACCGCTCGACGAATTCCTATTTCCGAACACGTAATACGATTCCGTCGAACGTCGAGTATTTACGTCTAAACTTAACCAATACGCTTTGATTGTATGCATCGTGTATGTTCCCTCTATGTTACGGCTAACGCAAGCTATTCAACGACAAGCGGTACCGAGCGACGAAATTGCCTCGAGCTCCGTCAAGCGTTTAATCTTATAAATTTCAATCGGAAAGAACACAAGGTCTACGATCGTTTCTATGAATGGTTTGCTGCACTTCGTCGCTCGGTTTCGGGTGAAAACTATTACGTAACAATTTAACCTATCATAAATATCAAAGAAAATTTTACGGCGAGAGTTTATCTATACGAACGTTTCTACGTTCGGTAACAAAACTCTGCGGTCAGGGTAAATAAAAACTCTTTACGATACCCTCGGTTACTCGTTATTAAAGTATCCTGAAATGGACTCGCGCGTATCGAGATTACGAAAAATATATATTTTATAACGTACTACCTTTGCAATGCGGAACGAACCAAAGCAATTTATTTCTCTAAATGATAAACTGAAACGATGAGTCAGTCGATCGGTCCTAAAATGAAAAGTAAAAGTAAAATGCACGCGAGAAGTGGTAGCGTAGTTTGGAGAAAAATATAATCTATCGATGAGCCGATCGAATGCCGTAATGACGTAATTCGAATCGGATGAAATAATTGTCGAATATCGAAGAGAGGGGGGACTTCTACCGTTACGCTTTTCTTACAATTACATTCCGTCATTCGTATAAAACATCGAGTATTAATGACAAGTACAAGACATAGTATAGTAACAATATATGTATAGTTAAGGTTTAAAAATGTATTCGTTTCGAAAGCGATGTGTGGTTTTTTTTTGTTTTTTTTTTTTTTTTTTTTTTTTTTTTTAAATGAGCCTCCGTCGTGTAAAATTTCACGGAATACACAAAGGAAATCAGACATGTCTTTAGTACGATACGTTCCAAAGAATAGGTTCCAAAGACTCGCGTTTACAACTCGAAGCATTCGAGAGAACAGACCCGAAGCGAACTTCTGCGCAGTATCGAGAAAACGTCATCCAACAGATTTCAAAGTCAACGATATAGTAACGCTTATAACCAGATTCTACCTTGCCGATAAGAGCGTCATGGCACAAGGACCCGCTTTCTTCGCGTTCGAAAATATATTTATATATATGTGTATATATACGTATATACAGAGTTTGCTGAAGCGAATGGTTCAAACTTTGCGCGAGTATTCATAAAAATAAACAAAAACAAAAAGTGTTAATAAACTCTAGAAACAAGCAGTTTCGAAGTTGCATTTTACTATTCGAAAGAAATTCTGTCCATCCCCGAGTAATACGCAAGAATTCTAGGTACTTCCGTTATTCCCCGACAAGAGAAACTGACATAATGAATGCTACCGATGAGAACACTTGAGCAAATACTATACGTATAATGCGTATCTTGCAACTGGAAGGACTTGAATTTTAGATCAATGTTTTCTATCGCGTTTTTACACATTTCGACGAATACTATACGTACCCAAAGTTTGAACCGTCAATTTCAGCACACCTTGTACATAAAACTCTCTCGTAATTTACATGATGTTACACCATTTTCTGCCGGTACCATCGTTCATCGCGTTACTCTCATCTTCCGTGAGATTCAATTTGTTGGTCTGGAATTTCAGTTCCGATCGCGGAGTAGAAACTTGGATAGGTCTGCGCAGTCCTTTCAGAATGCTGATCGAGGTGTTCAGCAAACTGTTCTCCGACTCTGTTTTCGGTTTCTTCGAGGAATTCCAATCCTCGGTTTCGTATTTCCTCTTTCTCTCGGAGGAGCTTCCGTTTGTGGTGGAAATCGTATCGGATAGACCGGTACTGTAACGCAAGATCTTGAAATCCTCCGTTTCGTCTGGTAGCAGAGACGCGCTGGAAGTGTTGACGAACAGGGAATTGTTCGGCGAATACCTGTGATCGCGTAAAGTGACGTGACGCATTCTGTTGAGAGAACGTCTCCCGGAAATGCTCCTCAGCGTCTTTCCAAAAGACGCCTCCCTCGATCCTTGAGACAGCATTTCGTAATCAGCGTTACTAGCGTCTAAGGTCTTCGTATTTTCTTTCATGCAATCGTTCAGCTTGATTTGTACGTCCTTCAACATTATGGAGGGATCGTACGAAACGAACGACGTTTCCTTATTGTGGGTTTCCTCCTCGACTTTCTCCTTCTCCTTCTGGCCATCATTCTGCGATACGACCTCAGACACTTCGGACAGTTCCGACGTCGTGGATTCCAACATGTCTACCGAATAGCTCTCCGTATCGGTTTGCGACTCGCTTTGCACGTCTTCCTTTTCTTGGATATCAGCTTTTGATTCTGACTGTAAAGAAATACATTCCTCTTTCGCCTCTTTCGATTCTGTATTATCGTTCGATTTCTCCTCCTGTGTCTTCGTAGCGCTGTCTTCGGTTTCAAAACTCAAAGTTAAATCAGGTTCTTCGTGCTCTTCGGCCTCCTTAGGAATCTCTGCTACCTCCTGTTCCTGAATTTGTTCCTCCTCCACTACCAGCGATTCTTTATTTATAGAGTTCTCTTGTTCCTTGGAATCCGGGGGAAGTTTGACGGTAGCATGGTCGACGCACTCGTCGGATTCTTGGGTGTCCTTGACCGTATCTTTCTTTGCATCTTCGTTTTCCGTAGTTGCATCGAGTTTAACCTCTGCTTCCTCTGATTCTGGCTGCATATTTTCAAGTGTCGGTTCTACGCTTTTATCGGGAATCGTTAACTTCTTGTCTTTAGAGCTACCAGGTGGTCTACCAAGAGGCTTTTTAATAAAACTCAATTCAGACTGCGTAGGAGCTTGAAGTTTACTCTGCAACAGACACATTATCATATACTTCAATAGGAGTACAATTCTTCAAAAAGTCATATCATTGGACAAATTTTAACTAAATTATTTAGGTGCAACAGCAATATTGTTAACAACTTTTGAGAGCCATCAAACTTACACTAACGTGTTTCCTTTGATTCTGTGGTATTTTTTTCTGCGTGGTACTCAATTCAGGCCTGTAACAAGGAAATACGTGTGTTCAAAGTCATTGAAAGGATAGTAGACGCAGAATTATAGCCAATTTCCATAGAGTAAGAACTACCGGAGGTGATGAGAGGCACTATTTAAAAAAAAAAAGAGAGAAAAAAAAGAAAACTTGGCACAGCGGCTAATCCAAAGTTTCTCGTTTACAGCTTTCGAATATTTTCACGATATTTCACATCTGCCCATTCATTCCAAATCGTTTTTTCCACAATTCGATTGTTTTCTCGTATTAACGAAAACCGAATAACGTGACTCCAAAGTGTTTGAAGAAAGCGTTTCGATTATACGCGTTAGGCCCGTGATTTCGGTAGTTATCTTCCGTCGAAAGCGAGTGACATTTGGCCTGCTTTATCCTCGGATATTTGAAAGAAAAAGAAAAGATCGCGTACGCGATTCGAAGGATGATAATCCATGGCGACGTCATGTCAGTTTACGCGACGATCGAAACGTATCGTGTACATCTCAAAAGGAAAACAGCGGATGTTATTCGCGATGTGTGATAAACATTGGGTTGTCCAGAAAGTTCGTGCCAATTTTTAAGAAACATTCGAAGACACGTTTGAACTTCGATATTTATTTATTGAATTATATATGTGCCATTTTGTTCCACAATTTGTCCACCTTTTAAAGGATGTCAACATGTTATTTGTTTTCAATCATTCCGGTATATTCAGACCTGTACCACCTACTAAAAATCAGCATGGACTTTCCAGACAACCCAATACGTATATGTATATTATATAGAAATGTATACAATATACGACGCAACTTCCAGGGTTTCTCTGGCGAGAAGCACGATACAAAGTCAGAGCGAGAAGAAAACTAGCGACGGAATGGGGAGTAACTCTGGATAAACTCGCTGGTTCGTTGGGCTGATTGGTTTTACAAACCTGTTCGGATTCTCAGATTGCCGCTGTCTCTTGTGCGAGTTGAGCAGTCTCCGACTGAGCAAATTCCTCTCATCGCCCCCAGGGACCGCCTTCTTTGGCGTCTTACCCATGCTGTTTAGCGCACGTTTACGCTTATGTTAATTCTCGTACTCTTTCCACCGCCCTTTCTTTTTAACCGTTCGTTAATACTTGTCCCCGTGTATACAACCAACGAAGCCTCGGTATGCACAGTTTAAGATACAGAGGATCGAGTAAATCTATCTGTACTTTGTTTCCGGTTTTACATATATCGATATACTCGACCGTTTTCTCCCTCACTGTTTCTCGATTCGTTGTATCGTAGAGCACTCACATTCCCCGTTACTCCGACAATAAGGCCAGCAAATAATCATACGAATAAATAACGGACGAACCTGCGCGTTTGTGTAACCGTAGTCCTAGCGTGCTGCGTGCAACGCTTGGGACGCCATGTAACACACCGCTCACCCGCTTGCTCGCTTCGAAGGGATCGTAAACCCACGCGCTAAGATCCGTCTTGGGAACGACCCAAACAAGCTCGACAGCCTCGTGCAAATTTGTCCGTTATTACGGGAACAACCGAGCTAGACGAAAGCTTCCGTAATTGGATAGAACTTTTTACGTAACCGACTCAAGGAAAGCCATCCGCTGAAAGTGTCAACGCTGCACGATAGCGTCCATACACACTCGCGCAGCCCCGGCACACTGAATTTTACCACTCGCCGTAGTAGCGGTAAATTCCGTTGATGTCAAACAATGGGAACGAGCGTGAATATACAGAGGCGCTGCTGTCGTGTCGCGTTTCTTTTCGCTGGGCTCTATGCGTATGTGTGTTACACAGTGTTACTGGGCGCCAAAAAACCTTGTTCGTAGTGGGTCGTACTACACAAATGCACAGACGTGAAATTTACCTCTGATTGGTTGAGAGTTGTTGGTTCCGGAAGCTGGTTGGCGAACACTCCAGAGTATTTGGTAGAGTAAACAAGCTTCTCGGCAGCAGAGATGGGCAAAACCCTAGACTTCGAATAAATCTGAAGTTTGCCGATATGTTTGTCTCGTTTTCTTCTTTGGAAAATTTTCAAAAGAGGGAACGAGACAAACATATCAGCAAACTTCAGGTTTATTCGAAGCCTACGGTTTTGCCCATCTCTGCTTCTCGGCGATAATATTCACCTGGTGATACCGAGGTAATCAACAGCACTAATGCCCTTGTGCTAAAATTTATACCGATACCCTTATGTATACTTCGTTAAATGTTAGATGGGACTTTTGTTCGTCGTGACGTAGGTTACTAGATGTATCAATCTTTGAGTCAGCGCCATCGGTGGCGAAACATTCAAGTTTGTAATGAAAATAGTAGTTCCTAAAAGTTTATCCTCGAAGAGTTTCTATATCTTTTTCGATAGATGGCGCCATTTGCATGTGATAATAAAACAAACAAAAATAGAGGGTTATGTATTCTATAATAAATGAATGAACAAGGATTGTGATATTAAAATATGAATGAGAATCATTTTTTGACCCTTAATTCTTTATTTTTTAATTGAAATAAATAATTGCTCCATCTAGCGTAGGCAGTGAGAACTATTCGAGGACAACCTTGGGCGTTTTCCCGATAGAGGCGCTGATCATAAAAATAGTTCGGCAAAAAGAAAATAGAAAGAAAGAAAGAAGCGAGATGAGATTATTATTTTATTAGACATGGTAAAGAGAATTATAATGGAGTTCCTATAGAGGATAAGCAAATAAAAAAAATGATGACGTAAAGCATAAATGTAAGTTGTTACATAGATAGACAATAAGGTAACATTATGAAATAAGATTTATAATGTACCTAGATAGTTAAGTATGATGTAAAAATGTATATAGGGTTAAACAGTCTGTCCAAGGACTAAGCAATAAAAAAGTTTTTCAGTTCAGTTCAATAGTTCGGCAGGCCTCAGGACACCGTGCTGGGTATACTGTGATAGTAACCAGAGTAACCTACAACTACAATTTCTATAAGTAAAATTCTGCCGAGATGGACGCTGTAGAACATGGGTATTCAAAAACCAATGAAATTAATGAATCTGAAAAAAAACGGTTGAAATCATTAAAGGAAAAGAGAGAAACATATAGAGCTAAAGAATTATTAATACAGAATGCACTGAAGAGTTTGGTACATATTCCATTTAAATGAATGATACCAAAAAGCTTCTTTATTTCCAAATAATTATGTATCTATTCCTACAGGATAACAAATCCAATGCAAATAAAATAATATTCGATGAAGATATTGATAAAGTGCAACAACCTAGAGTTGAGAAAGTAAAAAAAAAGAAACGTGATTTGTTTGACGACGATGAAGGCAAAGATAATGAATTGTTGTGGGATGATAGCACATTTGAAGTTGCAAAAAAGGTTTGAAAAGATATCTTGCTTTTAAAATTTTTATCTTGAATAGTTAGTATTCATTAATAATAATTTCAGCCTTGTAGACAAAGTATCACTTTAGGAAATGATGAAAGGTTCAAACTTGATAAACGGTTTATGGATGATGATTGTGAAGTAGATAAAAATATTACAACAGATAACATTGATGAATGTGATTTGCAAAAAGAAAAAGAATGGCAATTAGATATTTTAGAAAATATTTTAGGAGTGCCGATTCAGGATACTTCCAAAAGCAAAGAAACACATAAGGATGTAAAGTTTCCAAGGTACACATTCAAATAATAAGTAACATAAAAGATATTTGCATAAATGCATGTATTTTTATGTTATAGTTTTTTAATTTTTTAGAAAACAAATGATTAGGTATGATCCTACAGAAAGTAATCATAAAGAATATGAGATTATTGAAGAGAAATCAGAATTGCCTACCAAAAATGTTAAAAAAAACAAAAGAGCTAAGGGTATCATTGAAGACACTGCTAAAAATTCAATAACTGAAGTATCTAAAGATGTCTATTATTCAGTATCAGAGTCATTGTCGAAAAGTTTGAAAGAAGGAGGCCAATTTAGTCTACTAAAAACGTCTCAAAAAGCAGAAACAAATGAAAAGGGTTGGTGTTTATTGTATATATTAAAATTTTATATCAAAAATATTTATTTTGTAATAAATATTTGCATACTTTTAGAAGAACATGAGTATAATGCATCCACAATAGATTCTTCAAACCAACCAAAATTTCACTTTAGTTTTGATAGGAAAAACCCATTTAAGTATGACTCATCCGATGATGAAAATGATAACAAAGAAAAAGAACCTGAGAAGAAACATCATATAAATCATATATCTACGGAAATAAATAAATTTTTTTTTGACATTAATGATACACGTTTTAATGGTATGTACATGGTAAAACATAATTTGCAATAAGAACTAATGTTACAGATTTTAATGTTTAGAAAATTTCAGAGGCAGTACAATTTTTTTCCAAAGAATCAGTGCCAGATAGCGAATTTAAAAACCTTAGACGGGAATTAAAACAAATTGTGCGTTTAAAAGTTCAAAGAAATATAAAAAAGAATCAACCATATGGACGTAAAAAGAAAATTAAACGATAGGGAATTAGATTAAAAAATTTGTTTAGCTGTATTTGTAAATGTTGTAATCTTTTAAAAATATAAATATCAAATTCGTACAAATATTTTAGAAAAAAAAAAAAACAATTAAATATTTGTAAATATATTTATACAATGTGTGTATACCATACAAAATATCATGTAGTATCCTATTTTCTTAATATGGAGTTAACAATTATTAATACATTATTTGTTGTTACTATTGATGCCATACATATATTCAACGATAATCGTAACAACTTTTAAGAACATAATATACTATGATAGATCCTTTAAAAAATAAAAAATAAATGCATTTAGTATTGGTCCATATTCAGCCTTCATCAATAAATTCATAATATATATTCAAAATAATTGTACTGAATAAAGCATACATCCTTTTTTTTTTTTTTTTGTGAAATTGGAAATAAAAGGGTCTATTGATTCAATCCATGTAGTTGTAGTTAATCTTTTAAGCCACTCTGCGGTATGTTTTTTCTAGTAACCTTAAAAAGAGTTCATGTGGAAGTCCACGCGATATTTGTTGTATATGTGTATGTAATAAATTGTACGTTTCTTCTTCATAGATGGAATAGGTATTTCGTATACCTAATTCTTCGTAAAGTTTTTTCACGCGCTCCACTTTTTCTGGATCTGGCACTCCATAACACTCCTATATATTACCAAATATTACCAATACTTCCAACAAATAATAATTTTATTGATTACGCATTTACCTTTAAAATCTTTTTTTGTTCTTGTGAAACTCGTTGCAAAGCTACAACGATAAGCCACGAACATTTTCCTACTTCTATATCTGTACCAAGTTTCCCAGTAGTTTCCGAGTCACCATAACAATCTAAATAGTCATCTTGAACTTGAAAGAAGTGACCCATTTCGTATAAAATAGTTTTTGCTTGTCTATACATCTCTGGATCCTTAATACCAGCCTATTAATGGTAATAATAATAAGGAATATAAATATAATATCAAAGTATAATTATAAAAGATGTATAAAAGTTACTATAATAAATGAAACATACATGATACATAGCAGCTGTAACTGGCAGAATAAACGTATAGTAAGCTGTTTTGTATTTAACAATGGAATTATATCGATCCATTGTAAAGAGATCTAGATTTGGTTTTTTTCCAAAGTTTGTTGATAGTATATCCAGACATTGACCATATGCTGTTTTTAATGTAGTCTGCAAGATGAGATTAAATCATTCTACCTTTAGCTATACAACTTTTAATTTCTTATCTACTTAGACACTTATATTTGCTACTTACATCTTGGAATAATTCTATAAGATTTATGTAATAATCTTTGGACCTAAAATGTGTTCTTAGGAGTTGATATAAACATGCTTGCAGCAACATACTGTCATTAACTGCTGTTAATCCAATATCACCATGTAAGTACCAACATGGCTGACCGCGTCGAGTTTTTGACTGATCTTGAATATCGTCATTTATTAGCAAGAATGCTTGTAACTGTAACATAATAATTTTACCATATCTTATACGTGAAGAAAATATGTAAAATAAAAAAAAAGTAATATAGAAAAAAAGGATACATACCAGCTCTGTGCACCAACCAATAATTCGTGCTAAGCGTAAATTTTCTTCTGTTAAATCATGTTGAGGAACTAACAATTTGTATGCAAGTACAACAGCTAATGCCCTACTCTTTTTTCCTGTAGGAACATTATATTGTAGTACCTAAAAATGAGGATAAATTTGTTAATGCTTGTTATCGAGTAATTAGATTAATTATTCCTTTTTCCGACAAACCACGTATTTGCCTAGCATCAAAATTAAAGTTATTTTAAATAAGAAATCGTCTTATTTTATCATTTTCAATTCACAGAAAGGGTACCTTTGCCGTCCATTTGGTAACGTCGGGTATGTCCAAATTTCGACCAGTTTCCGTGAGATCGCGAACAACATCCGGCCACACGCCCATCAATTCCCGACTTTCATCTTTGTTCGTTACAAATGTGGCTCGAGGGACACAATATAATGATTTCGTAGCAATATTCGTTCTGAAGAATTAAAGTTTCGATGATAGTCATTAACTTTTTTAATTGCGTTTAAAAAAAAAATAAATCATATAATACAAATGAAGATTACAAGTATCATTCTCAATATACACCAGTTTCAGTATGTTTATATTATTACAAACTCAACTATATGTTCTTTTGTCATCCATTAAAAATTAGATGGGCGCATGTAATTGTAAAACTTAGCGTACCGATATATCACATTCTACAAAAACTGTTGTAAAATGTGAAAGCGGAAAATTGGGGAGAACAATGATGACTAACAACAATAATTTTTCAGTTATGATATCAATAAATAATCAATGCTAAAATACGTGAAATAAATTGTTTGGTTACTTTACATTTTTTTTTAGAGATAACAGTGTATACGTACGTGTTGTTTTACGTGGCCTACCTTGTATATTTCTGCAATAGCGTAACAAAGGAAAGATCATATTTAAAGTGTATCTACTATCGAACTTTATGTATTATGTAACTCGCTTCTGATTGAGCGCAAAGCACTTTGAAAACGAAAGTGGGTTATACATACATATACATATACGAAAATTATTACATACGTATCGCTAATGTGTACTTTGTCTACATTATTGCAAATTTAATACAATCTATATACATTTGTTTCGTTTGTTTCAAGGAAAGTGAAAAATAAAGAAATGAATTTCCTTTTTAATTTCATTTTTCGCTATATTTTTATTTACATTTTGTCCAATTCTCGCATAAATAAATTGAAAGTTATTTATTAAGAACTTTGGAGAAAGGAAAAACTTCATAAAAGATGTAACATGACCACTTTGTTGGATACTTTGAATAAACGATAAACAGTAATATTGCTTCACCGTGTGTTAAAATCATCGCGATGGACAAGTTATGTGATTTATATTGCATACGAGGAACAAAAAACCTTGAATTGGATTACACTCGATTAACTGCTGAAAACTCTGTCAATTAAAAACCATACTAGTTGACTTTTATATCACGTTGATCTCACGCTTCATTTGAAAGTCAAAAAGCTTGTATATACATACGTACTAATTTGCATAATGATAGGTATTACTTCTAGAACGTTTGCATTCCCGATAAAAATGTATCCTGAATCTTTGAAAAATTTATTGTACTTATTAACATACAAATTTAACTATAAAGTTATTATAGGATAATAGCCTAAACCTATTCACTTTTCAATAAAAACGTAAAAAAATGTTAACTTGCGTCAGCATTTCTATTTCCAGGACAAATGAATTTTGTATAGATGTACAGATAGTCGGTGTCATAGGTAGCCATGGAACCGTTGTCACAGTTAGTCAATTGTTATGTAGATGTTTTTAAGATGTCCGCATTCGAAGAAGATACTTTGCCAAAAGAATCTCAAGCAATAGATTCTATATCAGTCGAAAGTGACCGTCGTACGCTGGTACAGGTACGTCATACATGCATTTACGTATATTATACTTGCTGTGATAAAAAAAAGGAGTACTGAAATTTAAATAAAGTATAATGTTAACCTAATACAAATGTGAAAAATCTTTTGACGTTGAAAAGCTGCATATTGCTTTATGCATTTTTCATAAGGTTAACGCCTCCTCCTTTTTTAAATATAAATTAACTTAAAATTAGTTACGTGGCAGACGAGGTGTTAGAAAAAATGTGACATATTTGAGAGGATTCATTCCTTGTGCCAATACGAATGGAAGAGGTTCTTTTCCTTTTTACAATTTGAAGCATTCTTAAACGAGACGTTCATGCACAATGATGCGTACACGCGCAACTACAGGGTGTCCCAAAAATGTTGTAACACCTTGAAAGAAGTGGTTCGGGAGGTGATTTGAAACAACTTTTTCCTTAGCAAAAATGTTGTCCGAGGCTTCGTTGAGGAGATATTAACGGAAAACACTGACCAATCAGAGCGCGAGTATGCCGATGGAGCGGCCGCGGTAGCGTATGAGCGCGGCCGCTTAGCGCGTAGCCTACGCTCAACCGGCATACTCGCGCTCTGATTGATCAGTGTTTTCCGTTAATATCTCCTCAACGAAGTCTTGGACAACATTTTCGCTAAGGAAAAAGTTGTTTCAAATCACCCCCCGAACCACCCCTTTCAAGGTGTTACAACATTTTTGGGACACCCTGTATACCTTTATTATTCTCGATTTATTTTTAATTAATATAAAATATAGTAAACTATATAATTAATATACAGTTTCCCTAGGATTTCAATCCGAATGGAGACTCAGTTGACCAATGAGATTTTGTTGTACGTCACATGGTTTTATTTACAAGATATTTAAAGAACAGTTCATATTCATAAAACAGGCGTGTTTACATGTATTACTTGAAAATACTCGTTGACTGATCGTTTGATATACGACCCATTCAGTGACTATTATTTTGGACTTCATGATTTCAAGAATTTTATTTTTTATATGGTTTCCTTAATTGGGGAGTGTAAATTCAAAAAATTTAATGACCACTGATGATCACTGCTCTAGCCATTATTTTCTTTGTATTATTATTATTTTGGGATGTGACACTCAGATCACTTCAGAATTAACACATGACATTTGTCAAAAATGGCCGCTGTACATCGAGAAGCTATTCAAAAGCAAATTCAACAAGATTGGGCAAATCGGGAATATATCGAAGTTATAACTGGAAGCATCAAGAAGATAACCGACTTTCTTAATTCCTTTGGTAATTTAATTCAATTAATAAGCAAATCATTTACATACGAAAAGAGCTACTTTCGAAAAGACTATGTGTAAAAATGAAACATTTACATTTAATTCGCTAGAATTTTTCTAGTAAGTAAAATTAAACAAAATTAACGGAAATTTCAGTTTTACTTAGGAATGAAAATAGCAGGATATGATTTTAAATGCAATTAAAACATGTGAAATTTATTAACCTATTTAAAAATAATGTGTACATATCTTAATCTATTAGATATGTCCTGCAGATCAAGGATAGCTGTTCTTAATGAGAAACTTACTACACTTGAAAGAAGAATTGAGTACCTTGAAGCATGTGTAAGTTATTATTTATAATTGAAGAGCATCAAATTATAAACACTGAAATAGTTCATATAAATTAACTCATAAACATTTATGATATAAATATAATTTATATATGCATAATTATTACTTGTGCAGGTTACAAAAGGAGAAACATTAACATAAATTAAACATTGGCAACAACTATTTTTAGTATCTTAACGTTTTTGTATTTAATGGATTTATATATCAATAAATATACAATAAAGACACTAATCATGTGTAATCATATATTTTAATCATAAATCCTACAGTATTTTAAATAAATTGCTGAAGCCCTGTTTTCTTTTTATTATGACCACTTATATGTCGGAAAAGATATAGGGGTTGGCTTTTTGCTCTCAAAACTTGGGAAATCCATTCTGAAAGTTTTGTTAACAGCTGCAATGAGAACCAAGCCTGCTACTGCGTGACAAGTATACATAAATGGCAGTCTAAGCCAAGCATGTATTATTGGAGCAGTAGCAAGCGCTGTAAGAAACAAGATATATTATTTTTAGTTTAATAAAAGATGAAATATTATATTTTCTTATAAAAGTTACATGTTCACTGTCCGTATATATGCCAGTATCATTCAAATATTTATAGATATAATAAGATTTTTATAGGAATAAATATTTTATCTTGTTTTGCAAATGTTATAGATTACTGATTCTACAATATGAACCTCAAATTAATGGTACAAATAATATTTATATACTCAGTAACTATTTATATCAAAACCATTTCAATCTATGTATTATCAATGGACAATGAACATTTAATATGCATCTAATACTGTATACAAAGACTACATACCACCCAAAGAATGTTCCAACCCATCACCCTTTCCTCTATGACGTGCTACTATAAACGCAACAGATCCATAAGTCATAGCACCAGCATATATTGGTACTAAGTGAAATGCCATACGCTGTAAAATATGGCTAAATGTTTTGCATCGAGAATACACAAATACATCTGTTGCACCAACTGTGAAACCAAAACCAAATCCTAACTTGTGACATGTTTTAAGTTTTCCGGGCAGATCTTGTCCCTCTGGCGCACTAAAATATCTGCCCATTGTTAATGAATCTGAAACAGAAATTTACTTAATTTATTATACTTCCAAAATTATGAGGTAACAATGTTCTGAATATTGATTTAATTAAAATACTCTTTGACTGAATGAAGTTTTTATTAATCTCATGACAATGTAATTAGGAACTGTATACATAATGAAACAAATAATATGAAATATACAGAACTGAATACTACTTGTTTTATAACCTGTATAGTTTCAGGATACTTTAAATTACATAACGTCAATCAATTTCACTTGTAGGATAACAATTCCTAACAAAAGTGGATCTCTGAGTATAGTGATTTTTAGAGAGAGGTTTCTTATCTAGTAACCTACCCTTTCTTCTCGGTCAACTATACGTACAAGAATTGCGCGTCATACATTTGCAAAGCTGATTGGATAAATCCGTTACTTTCAGTTACTTTTTGAAATACCTTGTTTAATCATAGACGATATGCAGAATAGATCGGCACTCTTGCTACATAGATGGTAACACTCCTTAGAAGACGCATGCGTATTCAAAACACTCAGAATTGAGACTTGAAACACGCCGAAGTTTCGTCTTTATAGGAGTATTAATTTGTGGTTAAAAATCCAAGGTATGGTGTTCGAGAAAATGAAAGTGAATGAAAGGTTAGCTTGTGCGACAAATGCTTAAACGAACGAAACTTCTACCTTTGTTTGAACTGTACGATTAAACATGAGTATCACAAAGGAAAATTCTACAGCCCCGACCAAAAATACAACCACAGGAAATGCGAAGTCATACGGGAAGATTGTATTAACGTTACAGAATTGTCTTTTACCCGAGGACAAGCTGAATACAACGCCGTCACATTTAGATGGATTAGACGCGGAAACTGAAACAGATTTACGAATATTAGGATGTGAACTGATACAGACAGCTGGTATTTTGCTGAAGTTGCCGCAGGTTAGTGATTTATTTTGAATAGAAACGAAATGTTTGTAAACGTTATAACCTCTATAACCTCAAAACACCACTATAATCTTTGGTTCCTTTATTGCTTTTGGCAGGTTGCAATGGCCACAGGACAAGTAATATTTCAACGATTTTATTACAGTAAATCGTTAGTTAGACATAATATGGAAACAACTGCAATGGGTTGTGTTTGTTTAGCTAGTAAAATTGAAGAGGCACCAAGGCGCATCAGGGATGTCATTAATGTTTTCAATCATATAAAGCAAGTCTCCAGTCAAAAGTGAGTACAGTTTGATATTTGTAGTATTATAATTAAAAAGCATGCGTGTGTAAATAATTATTCATTTATTTATTTTAAATTTACTCCAGGCCAATACAACCAGTGATACTCGATCAAAATTATGTAGCACTAAAGAACCAAGTAATTAAATCTGAAAGGAGGGTTCTGAAGGAATTAGGTTTCTGTGTTCATGTAAAACATCCTCATAAAATTATTGTTATGTACTTGCAAGTATTAGGTTATGAAAAGAATCGAGCTCTGATGCAACAATGTTGGAATTATATGAATGATTCGTTAAGGTCAGATGTATTTTTAAGACACCAACCAGAAACAGTCGCCTGTGCATGCGTCTATTTAGGAGCTAGACAGCTTCAACTTCCATTACCTACTTCGCCTGCCTGGTTTTCCCTCTTTAAAGTTAACGAATCTGCAATTAGAGATGTCTGTCGTCGTATATTACGACTTTATTTCCGACCTCGCGTAAAACCAGAACAGTTAGAAAAACGTGTAGAAGAGCTTCGTCGTCAGTACGAGGAAGCAAGAACCAAAGCAAGGGGAGGAGATGTTGACAGTCACACACCAAGTCCGCCACTGCCTAAACATCATAATGCGTGGGGGGGGTTTATCAGCCGTAGCGGTACACACGCAGCACCCGAAAGAACAAAATCGCCAAGGTGTTATATTGTTAAAAAATGTTAACTAAAATAGACTTTATCACAGATTCATTAGAATTGATTCCTATGTATTTTTATTTAGGCGTTCAAAATCTCCAAGTACTTCACCATCTAGGGGTGAAGGAACAAAGCATTCCAAGAGAAAGAAACATAGTAGAAGCAGATCACGCAGTCACAGTCATGGACGATCTCGAAAACCGAAAAAAGCACAACGACGGCGATCCGGCAGTCATAAATCATCGCGCAGTCGTTACAGATCGCGCAGTCGATCTCGGGATAGAGATACGGAAAAATCAAGTAAACATCGCAGTAAACACAGACGACATTGAATAACTCTATGTATAAAAATTGTTTCATATTACAACAGAGAAATACTGCAATTGCATTAACAGTTGTATTAAATTTTGTAATATAATACGAGGCCTTTTTCACCTCTGTTAATTAAATGCAACTTAAATAGGACAATTCATTTCTACTGTATGGTACATATCTTTGAGTTAATTTAAAAATGATAAATATAGGTTTGAAATTAATTATTTGTAAGAGTTTTAACTCAAAGTACCTCGATAAAAAAAAAATGGTACATTCTCAGAAAGATATTACAAGTAACATTACTTAAAAGGGCAACTTGAAAAATAAAGTTTTATATTCATGTATTGGTGTTTATTATTTTATAAAATCCAGCGGGTGGTGCTTTTTTCTTATCAGCAGAGATGATTGCTGAAAAATCTAACGTCGTCAATTGGGGGAGAATATGAACGATATATCCTCTATAATATTGAAGGTTTTCAATAGGATTCCCATGCAGCGTTAAGGATTTCAGATTTTGCAACTTTTTTAATTTGATTACGTCGTTGATGTTCGATATGTTATTGCCGTGTAAATAAATAATTTTTAAGTTCGGAAAATTCGTAATATCATCTCCAATGCTTTCTATCTCGTTAAAGGAAAGATCAATCCAGGTAAGGTACGCAGGGTCGTCGAGAAGTTTGTAAACAAGATTTTTGAATCCATCCATCGAGGTTAATACATTATTGCTTAACCAAAACGAACATGTTACGAAACGGTCTGTAGGGGTTCGCAACGGAATTTTACCTGTTCGTACCGATTGCGGACGTTTATCTGCCAATTCTTTTGTAATAAATGATTACTTATTAGTAATACTTTATTTATTGATAAAAAAAAAAAATGGTAATCTATTTCATTCTAGTGGTAACATACCATCCATAGTAGCTGCCTTTTTAAACGATAAGTCTAATGGAGCAGCTATCATCATTTCTTGTTGTTCTGTTCGTTTGTAATCGGATAATAAATCTTCGTATGCACCACTGGCATCCATTTTCAATTTTAATAGATAATTGTTATTTAACGGTGCTATTGAGCTGATTTTGGGAGAATTGTGTGAATACATGCATTCGATATGACTACTCAAAATTAATTATCAATAATTCATATTATCGAAACTGTTTCGCTTTCGTCTAGAATTGCTATCAATATCATTTTTTCGAACAGGTATAGTGAATCATTTATCCAATAGTTTATTTTACACATTTATAATAATTTTACTTCAATGCAAATAAAGTATTTAATAATGTAATTTCGAAAGTGTTTAGATCTGATAGTTTTCTATGATTTTACCGCGGACATTTACCTCTTGTTTGATATAACGGAAATACATCAATTTCAATGCGTTTTTGAACACTTGTTCAAAGTTCCCGCCAATGACGCCAGGGCGTTCATTTAAGGCGCGTTTATTCTTTATCATTTTGCTATTCTATAATTCATGTGATCAATGACATCAACTGAAAACTGCTGTAAACTTTTAACGGTCGGTAAATGGCATGAATGGCATTAGAAACATCGTTTTGATGTAAAGTCTGCCGAGCAAGGTTTTTTAAATATATAAATTTGGATAATTGATTTAAGAATCGAATAACGTGGCCAAGATTAAAAATCAACGAACGAACCGATTAGATTTGTCATTCGTCGCTGTAATCAAAAATGCCGCGAACGAAAAATGTTCGGAAATTGAAACAAGAACAGCAGAATATGGAAGAGAGTAATTTATTAATTGAAGATTTCGAACGACAAGCACATCTGCGAATTACGAAAATGGAAGCTGAAGCAACATTGGCGATAAAAGGTCTCGAAACATTTTTTGACTGCACTCTGACTAGTCTTCCCGCAGAAATTCGAAAAATGACCATCGCTGAGATATTTAACTACGAAGTTGACGATCAAAAAGAGAATTGCAACCAAGTTTCGTCGTCCGAAGACAAGTGTATATCAATACCAGCTTCAACGACGGTAAAAAGAAGAAAGACTACGAAAAGAATCACGACTACATCTGACGATGGGTACGTTACCGAGGGAGTGGCTACTACACGCCAATCAAGAATTCAAAAGAATACTAAACAAACCACGTCTAGAAAAACACGTAGCAGTTCTAGGACCAGCAAGATGAAGCTTAGTGAAGTTAATCAAGAGACTGTAAAGAAGAATAGAAAGGAACGTGTTCAGGAATCAATGAAAATTGATAGATTTAAAACTCCTATGAATTTAAAGCCTGGAAATAATAATGAATATGGACTTGTAACGCCAAAAGTGAAACCCAACACACCATTAAACATACTAAGACGACCACGGCAAGGGGAAATGGTTCTTAGTATGCAGGGTAGCCCTTTATTGGTATCTGCAATTGTTAATGAAGATACTGCCAATGTTAATGTCCCTTTGAAAAATGGCAATATAATTTCGTTATTACCTAAAGATGGACTACGCATGTCAAATATTCCTCGGTTGGATTCAGAAACTATGCGACAATTGGAAACTCTGAAATGTCATATAGAGAAAGTGATTTCTTCAAAATAATAAAGTTTTAACAATGTATTTTATATTTAATTGTTATGCGTGCTAATTGAATGATTGATTGATATTTTGTTATAACTTTACTGCTATTGATGAAATAAATGAAAGTGTATGTTCATTTAATATTTAAGCAGCAATCATTGCTACTTTTTTTATATGTCAACAATGTGTAGCATTTTAAAATAATGTAAGATTATAAATTAGTAGGTATCGTGTAGAATATTTCCTATAAATGTATGACTGTTTATAAAATAATACAAATTAAGAAATCCAATAAATGGATGACATTTTAAGTACAATAATTTGATACATTTCTTTCCTTTACTACAGTAATTTTCTTCAAATGCTTTCTTTAATATAAATTAATTTTTGCTTATTATTAAGAGTTGTGTTTTATTTAATTTAGACGAAACAGTAATTTTTTTTTTAGATTAAATATTGTACACCTCTTAATTTTATATAAGAATAACTCGACAGATGTCCATTTACAGAGTTACGTTTATGTGACATTTTTTCGGTTATACAATTATTAGAATATATTAGCGAAGGTTCACTAAATATATATTAGGAGCACCTCGTATTACTGCCATTTTTAAAATACATCGGATAAGTAGTAAACATCAACGACGGACGGTAGGTCGCACATTTGATTAAACGCACATGCGCATAGAAATGAATTTGTCAAATGAATCAAGCGTATTATTTGCTTTCTTCTTCTTTGTGATATTAAGAGTGTTTTTAAATGATAATAGTGCTTAGAATTATGTACGATACATCATAAGCATCCTTTTTCGACGGTTGATATGCTTCTTCCGTAATTCACTGTACCGATCATTCTGAATATCATTTGTTCTGAAACCGCTGTTACATGTGTGAAAGTGCTCGAGAATATCAAAGTACGCGTCATTGAGTTCGTTAACACAGATTTTTAGGCGGCTAAGTTAGATTCTTTTCACTTCAAGAAATTTAAAGTGATACGTAAGCTATTTCCTTTTATTCGATATTAAAAGGTTAAACAAAAAACAACGAATTAATCGTTTTTTTATATTTCTACGCAAGTAACTCATATATTAATAATTATATATAACAAGATATAAGATAACCTCTGACGAATTATAACAATACATTCATCTTGATGTGATTCGATTCTAGTATCTATTAAAAGGTACTTAAAAAACATCTCTTCTATCATAGTATTATTGACATTCAGTTTACATCAGTAGTCCATATAGATTGAATTACAGGTACAGTGGTTTCCTTCTAAACACAATTCTTAGTACAAAATTCAATATGGTGCGTGTTATTACTGTGCACAATTTTTTGGGGCAAAACATCACCCAAATTGAGGAACCAACTGCAAGCTGCACAGCAAATGCATCTGGACATGAAATGCTTCTTTTAGCACTTTCAACACATTGTGTTGAAGTGTGGGAATTGATGTTGTCTGATATTAAATTACACACTGTATTCCCAACAGTTGATACAATTAATCAAATGGTACATTGTGCCAAAGGAGACTATGTTGTGACATTAGAATCAAAATATGGTAGAGATGCAAGTGTTAATAACCAGGTTGGAAAAGTAACTAATAATTTTGTTAGAATTTATGTCAACTGGGCTTTAGTGAAAGACCAAAATCAACCTATGCGTGCTAGAATAGCAGGACGTGTTACTCCAACTTTAAATAGACCACTGAATAGTTTAGAAATGATAGAATTGCCATTAAGTATACAGCCTACATTAATTGCTTGCTGTCAAAGTACTGGTAATCTTCTAGTAGCTTCAGGAAATAGTGCTATTCTCCATGAATTCAAAGTTGAAACTCAACAAGTGTCAAAGATGAAATTCATAGATTTTGAAGCAAGACCATGGTCTTTAGGATTCTCATTTTCTCCTACACGCATGGAAATTGTTGAAGACTTTATATCAGTCATGGATAAATCAAATTTATCTGTTTTTCGCTTGACTAATTCAATGTATGAAGATATTGATCAACTTAGTTCTCTAACTTCTACAAATTCTTCTTCCATTGACAAAACATCTATATCTACTGACTCCTCACTTGTAGAAAATAGTAGTAATATGGGAAATCAAGAGGATAGCACAGTGTTGCAAACATCAAACTCAAAACGTAGAAGTTCTACTCAGGATCTTCATTTTGTTGCATCAGCGAATAATGATACTATTGGAGTAAACACAAAATCCAAAAGTAACAGACGTAAAAACTCCAAAACGAATATATGGTGTAAATTAGAAACAGGAGACTTCAACAAAATAAAATCTAATAACAATAAAGGTATCATAGATCTGGATCGTTTAGTACACAATGAAAGGGAAGAATTACAGAGATTAATTACTCAAGAAGTTATCGACGGAAATTCACAACCATTGACTATCAATTTTCCATCAATAAGTTTAGAAAGAGCAGGACCAGGGCATACTTTAAGCCCTTTTATATTGAATCCACCAGATATAAGAATCATAATTAAAACAAATTCTCCTGACTTAGGGTGGTCAGAAAACTATACAATAAAAAATTTATTATCTCTTAAAATAGTGGCAACTAATAATAATCCAAAACTCGATGGAAATTCTGAGCTATTTAGTTGCTTGTTACTGAAACCATTATATATGAGGAAGGAATGCAACAGTTCTTGTTTAAAAAAGTCAATCCTTAGATCAGACAAATACAGGTACTTACAAGGTGTAAGCTGTTTCCTATGTACATTACAAGAAGGATATCTTTATCACTTCTTAGCTACTAGTACAAATCCTACAGATGCAACCTGTTTAACTACTTATCCATTTACTGCGGCTGTTAATCATGTAGCATTGGAGAACACTGCTCTTCACGCATTAACGGAAGCTGGTCTCGAATCTTACACATTACGTTTGTCCCACCACATCGCTAGAACGTCAAACAATATAGATAATTTTCAAATAACATGTCCTAGTGTCTCTGAACCTGTTTGCTTAATCGGTTTACGACCGTTTCTGGGGATACAGAAATTATTACATAGCAAAAGCTACTTACTTCTCTTAGCTAAAGCCGAGAATTCGTGGACATTGTATTCCTTAATTTTACCTAAACTGGAGAACTTATATTACGACATTTTAAATGCAGCGAGAAGTCACAAATCTTCTAGCCCCAGTACTTACAGACATTTATTGGGAGAAGCCCATGCTTTGATACGTCTAGCGAAGGACACCGCTTACAATTGCTCAGACATTGATGAATCTGATGATGCAGCAAATGAAAACGGACTGAAATTGAAAAACTTATACAATCAATCATGTGCATTACTTGCGGATTATTATATTCGGTCGGAATATGAATCTGATTGGGATCGTTGTATACCCTATTACAAGATGTCAGGGCTGAAGTTCTCGGAAGTATTGTCCAGAAAATCTAGTCAAGACGCACCAGGACTTGTTACGTTTCTAACGGATATACTTTTGACATTAAAAAGCGGTTCGGAAGCAGATGCTTTGTTTCAAGGATTTAATATCGTAGAAATGATCTGTAAACTAAAAAAAGGGGACTTATTGATATTGATTTTCGGTAGCCCCGTGCTGCGAGAATACACCACAGAAAAATTGATA